ATTGAAAAGATAGGGCATATAAATCAGTGGCAGAAGAGGTGGTTCAATATGCAAGGAATCAGATTTTTGGATCATTAGGATCTCTTCTGGGGCAGAAAAGACCTGTTCAAAAGGGATGGGTTTCACCTGAATTGGAAAAGGACCAATATCCTGGCATGAAGATTTGGAAGTTGAATTTTGGGGGGGTTTCCTAAGTGGCAGTACAAAAGGAAAGACAGATGAGGAGGATTCTGAATTGGAGAAGAGCTATTTAATTAGAAAAGGCAGTCAAGAACAAGTCGGAATGAGATAACTCTGAAGAATTAAACTGCATTTATTTCAGTACAAGAGTCTTACACACAAGACTGATGAACTCGGCATGAATGGGAACAGGGGACTGGGACATCATAGCTATTACAGAAACTTGGCTGAGGGAATCACCGCTCAATATTCGGGGTTTTAGATGCTATAGGAAGGGAAGCAAGAGAGGAGGGGGAGTGGCGTTTTGATTAAGGAAAGCTTTCTACGGTAATTAGAGAGGATATTTCTGAGGGGTCGTCCAGTGATACTATATGGGTAGAAATTAGAAATAAGAAAGGGATGATCACCTTGTTGGGATTGTACCATAGGTCCTCCCAATAGTCAGAGGAAAATTGAGGAGCAAATATGTAGAGAGATCTCAGATATTTGTAAGAATAATAGGGTTGTAATGGTAGGGGAGTTTAATTTTCCAAACATTGACTGGGGCTACCATAGTATTTTAAGGCTCGGATGGTGAGGAATTTGTTAAATGTGTTCAAGAAAAATTTCTTTATCAATGTGTAAATGTACCTACTAGAGAAGATCATGTTTTGCTCCTTGGGAAATAAGGCAGGGCAAGTGACTGAAGTTTTAATAGGGCAACACTTTGGGGCTAATGATCATAAATCTATTAGTTTTAAAATAGTTATAGGAAAAGATAAGCCTTCCATAAACATGAAAGTTTTTCATTGAAGTAAGGAAAATGTTAATGGTGTGAGGCGAGCCCTTTCAAAAGTTAATTGAAGTAGACTGTTTGCAGGTAACGGGATGACTGACAAGTGGAAGGCTTCCAAATTGTGACGATGAGAGTTCAGAAGCATTATATTCCTGTTAGAGTGAAGATTAAGGCTAGTAAGAGTAGGGAACAATGAATAAATAAAGGTATTGAGGTTCTAGTCAAGAATAAAAGAATCATATACCATATACAGACAACTGGGATCAACTGAATTTCTTGAAGAGCATAAAGAGCATAGGGCATTCTTAAGAGGGAAATAAGGAGGGCAGAGAGGGGATATGAGATATAATCTAGAGAGGTTCTACAAGTACATTAAATGCAAAAGAGCAACTAGAGAGAGAATAGGGCCCCGTAAAGATCAACGCTGGAGAACTCGGGGAAATAAATATTGATATTTTGAAAACAGTTCACATTACAGAAGAGGAAATGCTGGAGATTTTAGAAAACAAAGGTGGATAAATCTCTGGGACCTGTTCCACTGTATCTCAGGACATTGTGGGAAGTTAGGGAAGAAATTGCAGGGTCCCTTTCAGAAATGTTTGTACCGTCAATAATCACAGGTGAGGTGCCAGAGTACTGGAGGGTGGCTAGTGTTGTGCCTTTATTTATGAAAGGGTGTAAGGGGAAACCTGGGGCCTATAGTTCCGTGAGTCTGACGTCAGTGGTAGGTAGGCTGTTGGAGGTGATTCTGAAAGATAGGATGCACGCTGCATTTGGAGAGGCAGTGACTGATTAGTGATAGTCAGCATAGGTTTGTGCAAGGGAAATAGTGTCTCACAAACTTGATTGATTTGTTTGAGGAAGTAACCAAAAAGATTGAGGGCAGAGCAGTAGATGTTGTTCATATGGACTTTAGTAAAGACTTTGACAAGGTTCCGCATGTTAGACTAATTAGTAAAGTTAGATCATATGGGATTAAGGGTGAGCTTGCCAATTGGATACAAAATTGGTTTGACAATAGGACACTTAGAGTGGCAGTGGAGGGTTGTTTTTCGGACTGGAGGCCTGTGCTCGCCAGTATTCCACAGGGATTGATACTGGGCCCACTTTGGTTTGTCATTTATATAAGTGATTTGGATGAGTGTATAGGAGACATGCTTAGTAAATTTGCAGATGACACCAAAATTGGTGGCATAGTGGACAGTGAAGTTAGTTACCCAAGATTACAAGGAGGTCTTAATCACTTGGGTTAATGGGCTAAGGATTGGCAGATGGAGTTTAATTTGGATAAATATGAGGTCTTGCATTTTGGTAAAACAAAGAAAGGCAGGACTTGTACAATTAATGATAGGGCGCTGGGTACTGTTGTAGAACAGAGACACCTACAGATTCAGGTACCTAATTCTTTGAAATGTGGGTCACAGGTAGACAGGTTAAGAAGGCATTTAGACACTTGCCTTCATTGCTCAACCTTTGAATATAGGACTGGGACGTCATGATGAGGTTGTACAGAACACTGGTGAGACCTCTTCTGGAGTACTGTGCACCGTTTTGGTGGCCCTGCTTTAAGAAGGATATTAAATTGGAGTGGATTCAGAAAAAATTTATGGGATGTTGGCGGGAATAGAGGGTTTGAGTTATAAAAATAGGTTGGATACACTGGGGCTTTTTTCACTAAAGCATAGGAGGTTGAGAGCTGATCTTATTGCGTGAAGGGCATAGATAAGGTAAATAACAAGAGTCTTTTCCCTAGGTGGGGGAGTTCAAAACTAGTGGGTATATTTTTAACGTCAGAGGAGAAAGTTTTAAAAAGAGCTTGAGAGGCAGCTGTTTTTACACTGTGTATGGTTGTGGAATGAACTGCCAGAGAAAGTGGTGGATGCAGGTACAGTTACAATGTTTAAAAAAATAGTTGGGTAAGTACATGAATAGGTAAGGTCCAGAGGGATATGGGCCAAACACAGGCAGGTAGGACTAGTTTAATGTGGGAACATGGTTGGTGTGGACTAGTTTGACTGAAGAGTCTGTTTCCGTGCTATATGACTTTATAAACCGGATCCTGGCCCAGTTATACAGTTTCCTGCAGTGTTCATTAAATAACAAACAAGAACTGAAGTACGTGCAGGTTTTTTCAATGGGAAGTGAAACTAGATCAAATTATGCTTTATTTTAATTTTCTGAATCAGATTCTTACTGAATAAGAACTATCACTTGACTTATATGTGAAGATTTCCACTCGTATTCACAATATTCCTATCTTTCTACACTTCCTGGGCTTGTTCCCTAAAAACTGCTTTGGAAACTTAGACTGAATATTTATTAGTGTTTGAACTTTTGAATCCGTAATTTAGTGGATGGGAACAACAAAAGGTCCTAATTCAAAGGAATGGTTCAGCTCACTGAAAGATTTACTTACTAAATATGTTTGTTCTTTGCAACCTTTCTGTGCTTTGACTTGGGGGCCAGAATGACCTGTTGTACGTTATCAAAGTTTATGTATAGTATGTAGTGTTTTTATTTAAATTAGAATTTCCATCAACTTAACATTTTGAGTGCCTTGTTATTAAGCACAGTCATTCCTCTGAAAATACATAAGAATATGCTTTTTCTCTTTTATTCAATGTTTGGCCAACATATTTCTCAGAAATATAACTGTTTATTTCCTGAATATCCTATTTTGCTGCCTAGTAAGCTACAGTATATCAGTTTAATGAAACTCCTACAATGATAATACTTAGACAGCAGTTGATGTAGCTTACCACCGTAGTTAATCACAGGTAGAATCTGGGTTTAAGTCTGATTTTCCCCTGCACTAAAATCTATTGTTTTATTATGTTTACTGAAGAAGGAATTCAAAGGATGCCAGACACCTTTACTCAATCGGGTAAGGTTGATGCTCACTTTAATGCTTACGTCCACCAGTTAACTAGAGTTAATTTGCCATCAGAGATAACAAGGTGTAGAGCTGAATGAACATAGCAGGCCAAGCAGCATCATAGGAGCAGGAAGGCTGACATTTCGGGCCTAGACCCTTCATCAGAAAATTTTCTGATGA